CCCGGAGAAAATGACCCTAATGAGGCCATTTATTTAAAACAAAATTAAAGAAACGATTTTTTTTTATTTAAGTCGATATTTAATAAAACAGATTATTTATGTGAGAATTACAATCGATTCAGATCCTTGTTGAAAAATGGCAATTGAAGTTCATAATCTAAAAGATTTATCGTCTCATACGTTGAACCAGCATATTGGTGCGAGAATAGGGTTGGAGATTTTTAACCGACTTCAAAAAAAATAGAAGGTTCTGAAATCGACCGTATGTTCTGTTTTTATATATGTTACGCGATATCTTCGTCAATTGTGAACCGAATTTAAAGATTAATTTTTATTTAATAATTCAGAAAATTCCACCCCTACGGGTGAAAATAGGGAATATAGTTTTTAAAGTTGGTAAAAAATTACTTTGCGTACATCCGCAAAGTAACTTTTTACAAAATTTAATATAATGGATTTCCGCAAAGTAACGCCTGAGTCTTTTTATTGATATAGTTTTTACTGTAGCTATTTAAACGACATCCCCGTTGTTGTCTTGAGTTATAAATAACTTACTCCACTCAAAAGGGTCAAAAAATAAATTTTAAAAAAGCATAATCCATCTTCAAAGAATAAAACAATTTAACTGTTTTACACTAAGCTCGAAGTTGTTGACGAGTATGTTTACCTGGGACAAATAGTCCGACTGGGTAAGTCCAACTTCGACCGAGAGGTCAATCGACGGATTCAACTCGGCTGGGCAGCGTTCGGGAAGCTAAGACACATCTTCTCGTCAGACATACCTCAAAACCTTAAAACGAAATTGTACAACCAGTGCGTGTTGCCAGTGATTACTTACGGAACTGAGACGTGGTCCTTCACTGCTGGCCGTATGAGGAAGCTCAAGGTCGCTCAGCGAGCTATGGAGAGGGCTATGCTCGGAGTTTCTCTGCGTGATAAACTTAGGAATGAGGATATCCGCAGTAGAACCAGAGTGACCGACATAGCCCAACGGATTAGTAAGCTGAAGTGGCAATGGGCCGGCCATATAGCTCGAAGAACCGACAACCGATGGGGAAGAAAGGTTCTCGAGTGGCAGCCTCGTACCGGTAGGCGAAGTGTAGGGCGTCCCCCCACGAGATGGAGTGACGACCTGGTAAGACATGCAGGAAGTCGATGGATGCAGGTGGCTCAGGACCGTGTTTTGTGGCATTCTTTGGGGGAGGCCTATGTTCAGCAGTGGACTTGTGAAGGGCTGTAATGATGATGAATGATGACACGTGGTAGAGCCAGTGTAGCTATATTATGGTTGCAGCACGAATGGGTCGGCTCGACAGGGGTAGGACCACGCTCTCACAGATAACCAGCGTAAAATAGCAACTCAATGCTGCTGTGTTTCGTATAGCAAGTGTAGAGAACCGGAGACCCTTTTTACTGGAAACTAGGCATTCCATCTCAGTCCTCAAAGGTGGCGGCGCATCTGCATTTTGATTCTTGATTGAGGATAAATGTAGATGTCTATGAGGCACAGCATCTACTTACCATCAGGTGGACTGTGTGCTCGTTTCTCACCCTTATTCTATAAAAAAAGCTTTTGAAGACGGGTTTTTTATTGTTCTATATACAATAACATAGCATAGACTTTTGAAGTAATTAGGTATACTTTATTCTTTTTTTATAGAATAGGGCGACAAACGAGCACACAGCCCACCTGATGGTAAGTGGTTGCTGTGACCCATAAACATCCACACCTATCCTCCATAAAGAATCAAAATTCAGATGCATTGTCACCCGTGAGGACTAAGATGGAATGCCTCTTTTCCAGTAAAAAGGGTCTCCGGTTTTCGACACTTACCATACGAAACACAGCAGTGTTAAGCTGCTATTTTACGCTGGTATTCTGTGAGAGCGTGGTCCTTCCCCGGTCGAGCCGACCTATTCGTTCTACAACTATACTACTAATATAGCTGTAGCATAGCTCTACCACGTTCAAAAATATGCTTTTTAGTTCTTTAAAGCAGGGTTTTATTTTGATTAAAAATTTAATTTTGATGCCTTTAATCTATCACTTATAAAAAATTAGACACACAATCCCAAGCAAAAGTTCTCTAAAAACGGTCGCGAATTGTTTCGACATAATTCTAGTTGAAATAAATATACCTTAAATGCATTGCCTAAAGTTGTATTCAAAAAGCTACGTAAAAATTAAAAGCGCACCCAAATTTTCGAGTGGGCGCTCATTCGGTAAGGATATTTTTGTCACTGATTGTGTACCTAGTTTTTATTAGTGATCGATGCTATATATTACATGCATCGGTCCCCATAACCACTTTTTTCTAAGTAAAACGCCTGGCATTTGGACAAAAAATTGCTACATCCCCTTTGCACCCCTATCATCATCATCATTACAGCTTTTCACAAGTCCACTGCTAAACATAGGCCTCCCCAAAGGACTGCCACAAGGCACGCTCTGAGCCAACCGCATCTATCGACTTTCTGCATCTCTTACCAGGTCACTCCATTTAATGGGTGGCTGCCCTAAATTTCGCTTGCCAGTACATCCTATATATAATCATAAATGAAAGCCTTGACCGGAATTTATTTTGAATTTATATCGCAAACAATACATTGCAAAGCAAATATAAAAAAAAAAAATCTTCTCATTTGCATATAAATTACGTAACATCTGTGCGTAAACGCTGTAAAATTTTATTTTTAAGAACACCACAAATATTATTTACTAGCGATTCTTGTAGAATCTTAATCTTTAATCTTCTTTCTGTGCGTTGTATCATGAACTATGAATTCTATATTTCTTATTAGATTTCCCAACCTTTAATACACAAAGTTCGTTTAGTTTAACATCCCCCTATCATTATCAATATAACCCATCACAATTCCAGAAAACTGGACCTGTCCCATAGATTGTCACAAAGAACGGTGCTTACCCACCTGCGTCCATCGACTACCTATCGTGATCCATCAGATCCTCATTTACTTAATCTAGTGGGGTGTCGCCAATTCCACGAGGCTACCACTCGAGAACCTTTTTAAGTCCCGACGAAAAAGAGGGGTGTTATATGTTTAACGTGTGTGTCTGTGTATCTTTGTGTCTGCGTCTGTCTCTGTCATCATAGCTCCCAAACAAATGAACCGATTTAGATTTAGTTGTTTTTTTTTTTAAAGGTGACTTGATCAGGAGTGTTCTTAGCTATGATTCAAGAAAATCTTTTCAGCCGTTTGCGGGGGTTTTTAATTTTTTTTTTAATTTAAGTTATCTATTTATCTACCAGTTATTGCTATATAGCCTGATATAACTAAAATTAATTCATATCTTCATCACTATATTTAACTCTTTTTAACTTCATCCTTGGAAATTATTTAACGAATACTATATTTTTAAATCCAATTTGCAATACGATATATCTTTGTACATGTTGGAGCCACGCTTAATTAATGGTTGTAACACGAATGAGTCTGTTCGACCGTGATATGACAACACTCTCACAGTACACCAGTATAAAATTGCAGCTTGTCAACACCGTACCCGTCGCACGCGCCGCACGAAACCGCATTAACTGATGGCCTCGCACATTTGCACGTACGCGTCGTAAGCGCCGTACACGCCAAATGGAAATCTTTTGTATTGCCAATAACTTTCGCAGTTTTTTCCAACCACTGGTGTGAAACGGTACAGCGACAGTCGAAACCACTAGTTTTAGTGGAAATAGTATCAGCTCGCGCCGAACGCACGGTGTTATATGACGTCATCATTATTTTTTAAAATACGGTGCGTACGGTGCGTGTCTAATGTATGATGTGTCATATGATTTCATATAACTAATTCCAAAATGCGGCGCGTACGGTACGTGCGGCGCGTACAGTGCTGACCAATATGTGTTCCGCTTAATGCTGCTGTGTTTCGTATGTCGTTAGTCCTCAAGGGCGTTTTGATTTTCAATCGAGGATAGGTGTAGATGTCTATGGGCCACAGCATCCACTTACCATCGGTGGTCTGTGCACTTGTTTATCACCCCTTTTCTAAAAAAAAAAAACATTGGTATATTACATTTGTAAATTTATCACACTTTATTAAACTTTTTCATATCGCATATTTTAAAAAGAAATAATTTTATCATACACTAGCTGACACCCGCGACTTCGTCCGCGTTGCTCGATATATTAAAAAGTTTTCGTATATGCGAAGGAAAAAACATCAAAAAGACAAAATTTCTTGTAAACAATGTTATTCGTTGCTGTGATTGTAGCTAAAATATATAAATTATCTGGGTTAGTAACGCTAGAGCAAGCGACATACATTTAACAGTGTGGAAAAACTCCGTATAAAAATCGTTGTTTCTTAAAACTTTAATAACTTTATTAAATGAAGATATAGCAATATTTTTTTAGATATGGGCCAAGTATCTAAGAAATAAAAATTAGAAAACCAAATAAAAATTTGTCTAGTAGTTTTTCCGTGATGCGCGAACAACTGCAAACTTCTATCATTTTATTTATATAGAAGATAATAAATACCTACCTGGTTAAATTTCCGCATTCATAATACAATTCTTTATTATTAAAAAAAAAAACTTACTATTAGTTACCAAATGACAAGTTACTAATAAGGCCAGACTGATTCACACCAACGCACATTTATTATTATAACTTTAAATAATCGTGTAATTAACATGCCTTTTTTTATTCACAGGTCACGCGTACAACAATGATGGAACCTACGCACTGATACGGAGACACTTCCTGACCAGCTGTGACCCCGACATCCCCGCTCATCGGCAAAATGCCTTATCTACAAACGATATTATACTATTACCAACCTCTTATTGATAGAGTCAAACAAGTTCTGGGATACTTATCGGTCGCGGACGCTGGTCCTAAATGAGCTCATTATGTAAAAGTTACTTAAATAGTGTCTGATCGCTATGGAAACTCCTTTCCATAGATTTATACTCAATTGTTGTGGAACTTTAGTGAGCAAATGATGTACTGTTAGTAATAAAATGGGCGATTTACTACCGAGTATACCAAAGAGTACATTGTCCAGTGAAGTAGACGGGCATAACTGGAGTGTGATGGGCTTGGATGATTACAACACGGACGAAGAATTAGCTGCAGTGGAACTGTTTAAAGACTATCCGGAGGGACTTTTACGCTTTGCATCTGTTTGTTGTGTGTTATTCATGTTGGTTGGTATACCAGGAAACCTCATTACTATAATTGCATTGGCGCGGTGTAAAAAGGTAACAATTTTTTTTAATTCTCTCAAGTATCTGTTTACAAATAATTATGTTATAATGTTTATAAATAATTTATCAAAAATAACTTGTTAAAATCATATCAAACTTTATAGATATTCGCATAATTTAAGTTTTATATTACGTTAATTAAAAACTCCATTAGCCATCAGGATTAAAAGGTCATGTTTTTAGATCGTTATAAACCGATATTGCTTTGATTTAAGTGATTTTACTGAGTGTTTTAATATATTCCTTTTAAATTATTAAATATATTTTGAATGAAATCGATACATTTAAATCAATTTAAAACATTACTCATTATTACGTAAGTTATACCCACTTTAGCATGGCATTTTATGTAAACATAAAAACAGTGCTATTCAAACTTTTAGACCTCACTAGCACTTACGCTAAGACTGTCTATGATATTACAAAAAAAAATATTATTACATGTATAAACATAACCAATTTTTTTTATATGTCTTAATATATTAATTTATGTAATAAAACTGATGGAAAAACCTCTTTTCTCTTAAAACAGACTGACGAACTTCTATAGAACTCATCATACTAATATATATATATATATAATGATGTGTGATTATATATATATATATATATATATATATATATATATATATATATCCTTTCTTGGCACGTCATCTTTCTTTAATTAGTTAATTAGTATTTTACAGTATTTAATGAGTTCTTATAAATGTAAGACTCGATATTTGTTTTAGGCGAAATTCTAGGACTTTTAATAAACAACTATTAAAAACTTAAATATCATATTATAGTTTCGTACAATTTAAGTATATTTTATCAATATATAAATGTCTAAGCTAGGTTTATGTTTAGTACGTAGTTTTTTGCGATTCTACGAATTAATAATATATTTTTATTCATGCGTAGAACTTAAAATCAACAATAAAAAAAAATTTTGGTTTGCTTCGATCTCATGCTAAAATGAACAGAGATTAATTTCTCTGATAGATGCTTTAATTCTCCCATATCCTTTTTGGACGACGCGGTCGATATCCGGACAAAGCGTTTTGTTTCATAGTTTATAATGCGCAAATTTCGGCATCAGTCTACAATGGGTATTTACAAGAGAACATTGAATAGGCGTTTACTTAGCTAGCGTTACTGGAATAAAACTGTTGTTACAGATTCTGTCAAGCTTATTCTAAGCCTGCCTATAGTGAAATTTCAATGTTTCTGCAAAGTACTTGAAAGGATGTGGATTTAAAGTAATGTAAAATTATATGTGATAATATCTATAATATTATTAACATTCAGTGTGTAGTACTCATGCAAAAATAAGACAAAAGGTATTTTAGTCGAGCTTAATCTCAATCGTCACATGAAATTAAATGAAATATATTTATTTCTACGCCGTAAGAAAATAAAATTTCGTTTGTCTAAAGACCTCTATGTACATATACTACTATACAGACTCTGTGGCCTTAATACATTGCGCACTAAGTTACAGTCAATTCTCCGTTACTTCTTTAGTCAACAGCGACACGGGCGTAAAGACTAGTTCTTTGTTTTGTAAACCGCGAATGTTGTTTTGAACAGATTTTGCTTGTAACTATGAAACCGCTTTCTTTATTCATAAACACACTTTGTCATTGATTTGATGTTTATTTCAGATAAATATGTAACTTAATTTCGCATTAAAATTTAAAAACAGTGGCTATTGTAAATGAAAATATAACTGCTTAGTATATTTACCGTTCTGTACATCTGTGACACAGTTTTTGTTCTGAATAGCTAGTCTTCCGGTCTGCCGGTTTCAAAATGAAGTATAAATGAGGAATTGATATCAAGCTCCAACGCTAAGTTATTAACATACATAACGATAGCGAAACATATACATAAAATACACACACAAGCCATATAAATATTACCATTGCGGTGTAATCGTAGAAAACAACCGTGAAACCCAATATCAGACATCCAACAACCACAGTACTATTATATACATATTTTTTTTATAAAACTGAAGTGACAAACGAGCTCACAGTAGACTTGATGGTAAGACAGATGCATTGTACTTGATACCTGAGGATAAAGATGGAAGGATCTGTAGCCTGTAATTATATTGACACCCTATAACCTTCAGGCTGGAACACCTTAGTGCAAGCACCGCTATTTGGCGACAGAAATAAGTACAATGGTGGTACATATCCAGACGGGCTTCTAGGCGGAAAAGTAGTCCTAATACCTAAAAACATAAGAGTTTTAAATTAAAATCCAAGTATACGAGTAGAAAAACGTTGACTGTCTTATTTTCTTCTAACCTTTACATATTTATTATACTTTAGTTAAAATTAAAAGCCTTTGAAATATATTTTTATTTATCGTAAAAATAAGGAGACTGTTTATCAAGTAATTTTGTCTTCATTCAATAACAGATTTTATTAATATCGTCTGCAGCGTAGGTCAGTGTTCTATCTGTACTTTCTTAATGGTCGAAGAATAATGATAAGAACAAATTTATTACAGAGCACAATTGTATAATCAGTCACTACTACATTAAATTATCTTAAATTTTAAGGTCGTGACACTCCAAGAATTTGATATAGTTGTACTTTTTATGTCTTTGCTTTTGGTTTGTAAATACAAATATTGGTTGACCAACAACTCCTTTTTACGCTCGGCAACGCACTTGCAATTCCACTGGTGTTGCAATTGTTCATGGGCGGTGGTAGTCACTTACCATCAGGTGAGCCGTTTGCTCGTTTGCCCCTTCTCCCATAAAAAATATCAATATCGTTCACAAACCGATGTCATTTTCAAAATAATAATATGTTATTTCCGAAAAAAGCAGTACCTAACCCTTCTCACCAGGGTTAAAACCTCGCAATTCAAGTCAGCACTCATCAATCCGCCTACCTATTCTAATGTGTATGGAAAAATTCAAGAAATGCGTCATTTGGCGAATTTTTGAATAAGCCGAAGTGGGCTTCGAAGGCTAATTAAAAAAAAAGAAGAGTTATCAAATTAAACTTAATTTTTATAATCGTATTGTATTTTGATTTGATTATTAAAAGCTTCAAAAATTACTTTGTCGTTATGTATTTCAAATATGATTTTTATAAATAAATAAATAAAAAGTGCAATATAACCATATATTTTCAGGTCCGAAATGCAACAGCAGTCTTTATAATGAACTTGTCCTGTTCCGATCTACTGTTTTGCTGCTTCAACTTACCGCTGGCTGCATCTACGTTTTGGCGACGCTCATGGGCACATGGCCGTATACTTTGCCGTATGTTTCCACTAGCGAGATACGCTCTGGTGGCTGTCTCACTTTTCACCGTTTTAGCTATTACCATTAACAGATATGTCATGATCTCACATCCAAGGCTATATCCAAAGTGCGTAAGCAAATACAATATTAATTATTTTTCCTTTCGATTTGTATCTGATATCTCATTTATTTTAATTTTTTAGGCTATACAAGCGGCAATATTTAGCTGTGATGGTTGCTAGCACATGGATATTTTCCTTCGGAGCTCTAATAGCAACATGGCTTGAAAAATGGGGTCGTTTTGGATTGGACCAGTCTATTGGATCCTGTTCTATCCTCCCAGATCGTAATCAGCGCTCACCGAAAGAATTTCTTTTTGTCGGGGCGTTTATGCTACCCTGCTTAGCAATAGTCATATGCTACGCCCGAATATTTTGTATTGTTAGAGCAGCTGCAAAAAGATCAAGGGCACCAGCTCGAGGACACCCAAGACTAGCACCAGGACTTGAGGATTCAGCCATGGGATCAGCTTCAACAGCTCTTGAACGCTCCTCGGGTCCTGAAAATGGTGTAAATCATGCCGCACCTCCTCGAAAAGCATTATTGGCTCCGCCTGCTTTACATTGCCCACCTACACCAGGTCCTGAGCGCTCTTCATCATCAGGTGTTGACACTTTTGATGGACACGATGAAGAGTGTGCTCTTGACGGAAAACCACGAACACCGAGCGGCGGAGAGACCGCTAAAAGACTACGACAAGCAGCTGTAGTCTTAAGGCGTTCACCGGCACCAATACGATCTCCTCGTTTAACGCCAAAGGACAGAAAACTATTAAAAATGATCATGGCCATTATGCTCTCTTTTTGGGTTTGCTACTTACCCATAACATTGACGAAACTTTTCCGTGAATTCACTTCACATCCAGCTGCCAACATAGCTGGGTACATTTTGATATATTTAACAACTTGCATCAATCCTATAATTTACGTTGTGATGTCTAGTGAATATCGACAAGCATATAAGAATTTACTCATGTGCCGAAGAAAGGCGTGACGTTCGCCCGGCGATGGCGTCTCTGAGAAGCGCCCGCCGTAACTAGTGAATCACTCAACAAGCAAACACTGATAAAGTATTACTAAGATAGTATAATTGAGTATAATTACATATTATCACAAATATGAACTCGTAAAGACACAAGTATTTTTAGATTTCATTCAATAATTTAAAGTATAATGCATTTATCTAATATAGGAAAAGTTTTTAAGTAAAATTGCAAGCGAGCCGTCCTTGATGACTGATGTTTGGGGTGTGTAAGTGAATCATTCGAAATAAAATTTTGTATTATTAAACTCATATTAGAGTTATGAACATTCAAGTTTTAATTCATGTTTGTAGATACATATAGCATTGTAAATAGATAGTTTTAGAATACAATTTCTAATTATATACGTTTTAATTTCAAAAAGCGGTTAAATTGTTGTTATCATTTAAAAACATAATCTCTTTCAATTTGTTATGGATTTTTTTAAACGACTGAATACAACAACAAATAATTAAAGTTTAATTTAGTGGAACTTAATACTCGATTTCTAAATTAATGTCATTTTATAAATTGTTCGTCTCAATTTTGCTAATTTAAGTTTACTTTATTATAATATTAATGTATAAAAAATAAATGTTTTATATAATAATCCGTTACAAATACAGCATTATCACTGTCGGGCGAAACCCGTTGAATCTCCGTCAAACTTGAGTCATGAGGATATATTACATTCCAATAAAAATGACCACAATGACGAATGTTTACAACAAAACCATTTGTACTCTAATATTTGTTAAGGAATGACGTACATATGTATAGTTATTAATTGAGTGATAAACTTGGTGATTCGGTGATAATGAATCAAAGTACGGTAGTGGAAGAACTATATCAAAATCTATCCGTGCTAAATTATAATGGGACACACGAAGAATTGGCCTCTGTGAAATTATTCCACAACTACCCAGACGGTCTAATAACCTTCGCAGGTGTATGCTGTGTTCTCTTTATGTGTATTGGAATACCAGGAAACCTCATTACAATCATCGCGCTGGCACGATATGAAAAAGTAAGTTGCTGATAATTTATTTTGGTAGTTATTCGTTATCTATATTGTATGCTTCCCGCGTAAATGTGCTGTTTCTGGAATCAGCTGTAATTTAACATGCAACTTTAGCTTCTAATGAAATCAATTTAGAATTACATCCTCGCACTATGAAAATCGATCCGGGAAACTATTAAGTTAATCAAATCTACGATTTCTCTTGTATATATATTCACGAGTGGCGATAACCACTTGCCATTAAGTAACCCCGATCATTTGCCTCCTTTTTTTATTAAAAATACTCCCCTAACACCCATGGTCATAATTCTTGAACACTGAACGTCCGTAAACAATATACTTAATGCAATCACGTTTATGGAATAATGTTAGATCACACTATGGAAATACTCTCAAATCGAAAATCAACTCCTACCTTCTATGGACTATTTTATTACCAAAATTTAACCGCGTGTTGGTGGCGTAAGAATATCCACCACTCCATATTATCTCCTGGGCGTTGCAAGAAGCTACAAAGAGAGGTGAAACAGGAAATGGCATTATCTTCCTGATATTAATTTAGAACTCTAAAAAACTGCGGTAGCCAAGGTTGCAAGGGCTGGAATAGCCTAAGTTCAGCAGATATTTGTTATTGATGATGATGATGATGATTCGCTAAAACATTAGCTTTGTTGGGATTTGAAGTTCGATCAACGGCTTTTTGTCATTAATCCACACAAGTGTAACGTTTCCAAGTTCTTATTAAAACCAAAGTATCTTGCGTACATTCATACATTTACAATTATAATTAAAATTTCTTATGCTTCATTACTACGTCGTAGTGTTTATATGAAGTAAGATTGACAAATGAGCACACAGTCCACCTGATGGTAAGTGCTTGCTGTGACCTATAGACATCTACATATATCCTCTTTTAAAAGTAAAAGAAGCGAAACGTATTATACTACTATGGGCAATCCATCTGCCAAATCATAAAGGTAAGCCTTTTCTACATTAGAATAGGTCCATGCCATACAACAAGGAGTTTTTTACGATACTATGGGGTTAAATTGATGTTTATTGTTGTGAGCTACCTTTAGACACGATTATCTTATAGTGAAGGGATTATTTAATAATACTTCTTACATAATTATTATGATTTTGAGTTATATTATAAAAGAAAAGCCGTCTTGTACTTTCTGTAAAAGCTAATATTATAAGAAAGAATATGAATGAATAATACAAACAACTAAGTACTTATACTAACTTCCAAGCGATATGATAGTACGTCAATGTTATTCATGAAATATTTTCCTTATTATGACACTGGAAGTTTTTTATATCTAGTATGGTCATAAAACTTATTTGTACACATTTATCGAAGTCTAAGCGATGGCTATGGGCCAGCCATTTAGCTTCAAGAATCGACAATCCATGGGGAAGTAGGGTTCTCGAGTGGCTGCCTCGTACCGTAAAACATGCAGAAAGTCGATAGGTGCAGGTGACTCAGGACCGTTCTTTCTGGCATTCCTTGTAATGATGATGATGATGATTATGAAGCAATTAATTACATGCAATTTTATTCAAAGTGGCCGCCTTTGGCTTTGATACGGGCCTTTAATCTCTGTGGCTGTTCCAAATAGCAATTAGGGGCCCGGATATTTTTTTGTTGATAAAGAAATTGTTGGTGAACATGATATGTGCTATGCGATAGACAAATGTACGGTTGATGCCTAGGTTTTGAAAATCTTCTTAAAATAACTTTAAGCTCCACGCCCACACTGTGCATAGTTACCACTGCAATTCTATTTTCTTCAACATTCCACTTCATCGTGTAATTTAACAACCAGATTAAAACTAATGTATGAAATAGCGGCATATCGATCAAAATTTCTTGCATAATAAGCACATTTCAAATTTGAATTCAGAAAAAGGATTACGAACTATTTATAATGCACGCACATCAAATGCCAAATCGGTTTTAGAAAAATAAAGTGAACAATTGGATTTTATTCCAATTATACATACATTTATTTATTTATTATTAAACCTTACGTACTCGTAATGTGTAAGAACAAAAGACGAACTTAATGCTATTAATACTCTGAGCATTTTCTGTCAGTTATAATTCAGTAAAAAATTAACACAGGAAGATCACCGTCTGCATTCAAGCCTGTCAAAAACCTATTGCTGCATTCATGCGACTTTTTGACTAAATGGTTGACAACTTCTTCCATTATATTATCATTGAGCACCTTTTTACCGAATAAGAACGCAATTCGTAAATAATTGAGCCATTTAAAGCTTTTCATGGAAATAGTGTAATCAAAATCTACTGGCTAACAGCTAAAAAATAGCTTGGTAGCGGAGTGGTTAAACGTATAACTATCGCGCGCCGCGGATTCGTTTCCCACACAAAAAAATAGTATACTTGTTGTTTTTCCATGTGCTTATTATGTATGTAAACGCCTCCATAATTTTTTTTACTTTTCCCATTGTAAATAGGCTTTGCTGTTATCACCACATTAAATACCCAGATTGGCGATCACAGTGCCATATATCGCCCCTTTGACAATTTTCTACATAATCGTGCCGCTCTAAACACTTGTTAACTTTGTTTGACCACCCGAATTGGCATTTGAAATGTGCACTAATCCAATGTTTAAGATCATTTATAGTATTTTAGGTTTTAGATTTGTATCTTGGCTTTTTTAATATTATGTTATGGTAAATTTTTCTCTACCCATATAACTTTATCATTTACTACCACGAACTCACAATATCTGTTGCGGTACATTTATCATATTAATAGTCATACATTGTATATCAAAAATAATGTATTCTTAAAGTTACACGAGAGACATACTGAAAGCGTATCACTGGTACGGTCACCTCTGGTTGCATTTTCTCTGAAACTGCAGTGTTGCATCAAAAAGAAAGCAGCACATAGGCTTAAAGTGCACTCGAAATATTTTAAAAGTGCCATATAATGTCAACTGTCAAAATAGGGTCGATAAAGCAGCGCTCTTTTGACCCTTTATTACGATTGACTGATGAAGAGCTATGGTATCACAGAGCCATCCATGGAAACAAGGATGTAGTGTTTGAGTTAGAAGAAAGTGACCATAGTACCTGAGGGTAATATGGTCACCCTCAGGTACTCTAGATATGAGATATACTGCTATTCAGGCAAGTCCATCTTTTTTCCTGTAGTCGCCCCTTATGATTCATTCGCGACAAAATGGATTAATAGATTATCTTACGCCGCTACCACTCTGCGAAGTATAGTATATATAATATATCCCTTAGTAACAATAACGTATATAATGAGTATAATAAATTATTTTTCATATTAAATCCATAAATGGATTTAATTTCCGGATCGGATACACGATGTTATTATTCCAGTAGACGATCGGATTCATTGATTTAATTAAAAGTATTCAAGTATAAATATCATTATCGGACATTTCCTTGCCCTAAAACCATCTCAGAAATGAACAGGTCTCCCTGTGCCCAGCAGTGGGACGTATATACGGTATATATATATATATATATAGATTGTAACTTTAAATTTTTAACTTTTAAGTTATACTATATATGCTGTGTAAGAATAAAATATGCATAAAAATTTCTCGATCAATACCTAAGTGAAGTTTTAAATTTGATCATAAACGTGTAATTTATTTAACACTTTCACTGTCCAGTTTTCAGACACAATAGTAAGACAATAGTGTACGTGCACGGGACAGCGAAAGGGTTAATATGCAAATCTAGTTCTCTAATCTAATCTAGTGTTATGTACAATCCACCTTCTCTTATAAATGCGGAGTGAGAGTGCAGATGCGTTTCAGCATATTAATAACAAATAAACTGCTATCTAATAATTTAGCGTAAGCAATAATTAATGATGAAATGATGCAAATGTAGAAATTTGATTATTGCAGATAACTCAGGACCGTGCTTATTGGGCCACTCGAATAAGAGAAATAATATATAAAGATAGATATTTCAAGGACATAGTATGAAGAGTACCAACACATATTTTAGCAGTGTTAGATTTTTTTATACAGAATAAGGCGACAAATTACCACATGGTCCACTTTATATTAGGTAGATGCTATGACCCATAGACATGTACGTTTATCATCCATTAAGAATTAAAATGTAGATGCGTTGTCACCCCTGAGGACTAAGGTAGAATACCATGTTGCCAGTAAAAAAGGATTCAAGTTCTCCACACTCACAATACGAAACACATGATGTGCTTCATCACGCTAGTTTTCTGTGGAAGTGAGCGAGAGATCATGATAGTCTAATTGAACCGACCTAGCTAGCATAGCTGCGACTAACTCTACCACGTATTTTTTTATTATTTAGGCTTTAACTTTACTTTCAAATAAAACCCAATATTACATTGTTTTTTTTAAAATGAGGATGATAAACGGGCTACAATCCACTAGATGGTAAGTGGACGCTGTGGCCCCTAAACCCCTCGCGGTTAAGAATCAAAACGTAGATTCGTTGTCACCCCAGAGAACTGAAATAAAATGCCTCGTCCACAGTCAAAAAATTGCTCGGTTTTTAATACGCACCATACAAAAGCATAACATAACAGCTTTCAGCTGCTATTTCACTGTGAGGGCATGGTTCTTACCCATTTGAACCAACCAAATCGTGCTGCAACCATAATATAACTGCAGCGTGGCACTACCACGTAAATTAATAATTTTATTAATCAGATTTTTCTTTGTTTAACAGGTTCGCAATGCAACAGCAATATCAATTATGAACCTCTCATGTTCAGATCTACTATTTTGCTGCTTTAATCTACCTCTAGCTGCGTCAACTTTCTTCCGACGGTCATGGGTACACGGTCGCATCCTCTGTCGTATGTTTCCATACGCACGGTATTCGCTCGTCGCTGTTTCATTATTCACCGTGCTGACGATCACGCTCAATAGATACGTAATAATCTCACACCCAAAACTCTACCCTAAGTAAGTATTAGCTTTAATTTTAACATTTTCCTTACAGCTCAACTCGTTTCTATTCAGAACTTTTTATATAGAACATTTTATTTTTGAAAAAGTTTGTTTTTTATTATTTACGATTTCTTTTTTATTAACCGCAATCTGAATAGACCAAATTAATTCATAAAATTAGGAATATAATAGACCTATATCTATGTAGAATTCATATAAAATATACTAAAAGTTATATCTGAAACTATTTGTGACTTTCATAACGTACGTAATACACTTATTTTCTTATTTTATAATACGTTTAAAAAAAATACTAAAACTAATAACGCTTTCAAATAAAGTTTCTGAATTGCTTTTTCTAAGTTAAATAAAGGAATTCATTTTAATACTATTTTCTAAAAAAGGATCTGAAATATGTAAATTTAGAATTATTGTAGCAATTTGCATATATATATACGAAATCATTAAGTTTTTATAAGCTAATAAAATACAAGTACATCAATATAAATTTACTTATTTGTTTCAACAGATTGTACAAACGGCGATATTTAGCAATGATGCTGCTCTGTACGTGGATCTTCCCTTTTGGATCGCTAATACCAACCTGGTTTGGAAAATGGGGCCGTTTCGGATTAGACACTCATGTGGGGTCATGCAGTATACTACCAGATGATCACGACAGATCCCCAAAAAGAACCCTGTTTTTGGTTGCGTTCACCTTACCTCTTCTAGCAATAATTATTTGTTACGCACGAATTTTTTATATAGTAAAGAAAGCGACACGTGCGTCTGGGACTGTTGTTATACGTAGAACAATAAAATTAGGACAAGAAGATTCGTCGTCAGTAACAGATAGACTATCCAAAACAGAACCTTCAAGTAATTATGTACTAGCTAGGAAAGAAGAATCAACAACATCACAACATAATTTAAGCAATACACCAGCAGATTCTATGCAAAGTGTCAGATTTGAAGCGAATACTAAAAAGAAAAACAATTTTAATGGTCTACGGTCAACTAGTAATAAGTCCCCAGCTAGTTTTCGAAGGACCGTTCTTAGGAAATCTTTAGCACTAGTAAAATTTTCGATTCCTACAAGGAAAGACAGGAAGCTAGGCACAATGATAATGGCAATAATGATTTCTTTCTGTATGTGTCATTTACCAATTACAGTAACGAAATTGCTTCATGACTACACATCGCATCCGGTAGCAAACATTGCTGGCTATATTCTCCTTTATATGTCCACGTGCATAAATCCAGTCATATATGTTGTAATGTCCAGTGAATATAGACAAGCGTACAGAAATCTGTGGAAGTGTCGATGAACTTTATATAATATTGTAATGAGCAAATATTTGACTAGTCACTAAAGGAGCGAAAATATTCATTTTAATATAACTAAAAATTTAGTATCCTCCACTTCATGAAGGCATTATTGAAAATCTGGAGTGATTAATATCGAATTTGATTTTAATACAATTAAAGCAATAAGTCCTTATTTCCATACATTTTCGTTGAAATAATATTATTCATTAATTTCATTTCATTACGACCTATCAAAAGTCTATTGTTGAACATAGGACTTTTCTCATAGAGAGGTTTTGCCATCGTTGCTATGCTTGGCAGGCGGGTAACCACAGTTTTTTATTAGATATTTTCGGTTGTTATCAGGATGATGCTGCTGTCCATCTCCTCCCTGTTTCCCTGTGACACCCGACGTATGATATGAAGTGGTTATTCCTTAGGCCACCACTAGACAGCGATAAATCACACATTATGTTAGTATATATCTAATATACTATGTTAAAGATTTATATATAAAAAAAAATTGATGCAACTTAGATCTGTAAGAAAGATTTGTACATAATGTTACCCAAATATGTAAACGCTACACGTACTCACCGAATAAATTTGATACTTGTATTTAAGTGTTTTAATATTAAGGCATTTTTGTATAAAATTCTTTTTTATTTCCTTATGTATTAAAATGCAATAGAGACAAATTTATCCGAATAGACAAATGAAAAACAAAGCTTTGATCCAAAGGCTTCAAAATATGTAATTTTATTTTGTACTTTGTATACAATATGAACGTGTGATATTAATATTACTTGGGTTTAGTGTCAGACATACAATAACCAAAGGTGCTGTGCCTACAAATACGTATATAGGAAAAAAGTCCATATTTCACGGAAAACGTCATAAATACAAATTAATATTATTAAAAGCGTAAAACTACAAAATTATGTAATTTGCTGCATTATCGTCCTAAGTGCTAAAATTGTTTATTTTAAATTTGAAAATATTTTTGTTGTGTATATTTTTATTGTGTATATTTTTATTGGGTATAATGTAATCGTATTTTTGTTAAATTACTCATAACCTTTAAATTATATTTCTTTTTACAGTCGTATAAAATATTGCAGATTTTATTTAAATATTAACTGTTTTGTTAAAAACCTATTCGTGTAATATTTAAGTTACTACAAGAAGCCGAGGTGCGGTTACACCTAGGTTTACCGGCTGCCTATTATAAAAGTCAGTGGCTATGGGGTGGCTCTTCGGCCGCAGTTTAATCTACGCTCCCTAATATTACTCAAAATGTGTATTCGTGTTTTGACAAATTTAACAAAAATCATAGTTATTTTAATTATTATTCGGATTTTACTACATCTAGTTTTATCCGAAAACAAGCGACCACACCAAGCTTAAACCATGAATAAATCGAATCGAATACACCTAAGTTTAACCAACCGCAATCACCTAAGTGTAACCGAACTTTATTTAAGACAAGATATTAGTATACCTATGTATATTATTTTAAAAAATACTGGAGGTTACAACAATACATGAAAAACGTGCGTTTAAATTAATTGCATGAAATATGCTCATGTTTAATGAACTTTAGACTAACTTAGAAGATCAACATTGTAATGTTTAGCAGATTTGTAAATAAGTTTAATGCAACGTCGTGCAATAAGTTTATCAAAAATTAATTTATAACTTAGATACCTACTCTTTATATAAGTAAGGTTAGAAAGGTTGAAGTAATATGATGTTATTAATATTAGATTTAAAACTGGGTCTGAGAGACTATTTCACATTTTATAAAATTTGTTAAAACTAATGTTTATTATAAAGAAAAACTGTAAAAGGAACAAATAAAGACGATGGGTAGGATTTTTCATCGTCTTTTTTTATTATGAACAACAGTAAAGTAGACTTTATATAATAATTGAAACATATTGAAATAATATGTTTCAATTTATTTATTATATACGAATATTTAAATTATGCTGAACTGAAAATTAGATTCATATTCAAATGAACACGTAAAATTTACCAGGTGTAATATATATTAGGTATTGACAGAATTATGAACATTAACAGACAGACGTTGTTGAAATTTTGTTTAACGTACCAGAATGAAGTATTTACCAATCAGTATTTTACTGCAATATATCCAAAAAGTTCAACTATATTGATTATTCATTAAATATAAATTAAAACCAAACGGTAGGCACCAAAGAACCAATTTTACGGGGGCCACGGAAACCCTTAAGTCCTTGAACTTACCAAAGATGTATCTAGAATAAAATAAATAAATCATACGATGAGAAAACTTTGTTTCTGTTATTACCCACTTATTTCAACGAATTTTACTGTCGTAGTATGTTATATTAAAAGTAACATTGCCTCGATCTGCAACGAGCCACAAATCATTTAGCAAATACATTTTTCATGACCCCGTTAAAAATACCAATGCATAATAAAAGTTATTATGCGCAATAGTTTATATTGTTTCTATACAGTTATTCTTCAAAAAGTAGCCAAATTTTAAATGATATACTGTTAATGCAGTTTTTGAAAATACGAGTAAATGAGGCTTCTACTTTGATTTGAAATTATCTCAGATTGAATGTGATTTATGGGAAACAACATATTTGCCTACCGACAAAGACGTAAAACATCTTAGCCTACCGAACGACCCTTAAAAATGTGCGCGTGCGCAGTAAAATCAGTTAACATAATGCATCACCATGCATTTTGAATTTAAAAAATAAAAAGGGCAGAATGTTTGAATTTTTTTTATTAATTTTTCTTCGCCACTTCCCTCTACAACTTTTCTGAACCTTCTCTGCAAATTTGCCCGGTTATTGCAAAATATGCCTATATACTATCCGTTAGTATCGCTAAAACTCAAAAACAGCTCCTACGATTTTGATAAATTTTTTGTGTGCATTTGAGTTGGGTTCCTGGATGGTTTAAATTCACAGTTGAACCCGGAAGGAGGCGCTGTTGTTGAAATCCAGAAATTAGCCGTGCGAAGCTGGGGCGGATTGCTTCTTGTGCGTGACTTCAAATTAAGAAGTGAAATGTTGAAAATAAAAATTTAAATGAAACACGAGCACACGCGCGCTAACATGCGCGGTAACATGAGCAAGAGTGATGGATAGAGAGAGTCACACTTTTAGGGCCTCAAAACGTGGCGATCATTAAAATGTTGCCTGTGTACTGCTGAATATGGTATAAAAAGTTGAAAATGCTGATCGTTTTAAGCAGCTACTCTTTTATATTTTAGATTGTTTTATAGGAGAGGGGGCAAACGGAAGGCAACAAAAAAGCTTGATGTTAAGTCTGGTTTGCCAACAAGTGTGGAGGGGGAGAATGAGCCTGCTCATATTGCAGAAATGTTTAGGGCTCATTTTAAAGTCAACTCACCACTGGGCCCTTCGGTTCCTACTTTTAGGAAGCCTTTGTGTCAGGGAGAAAATAAACTAGTGCATGTTACAGCTGCACAAGTGCGAAATGTACTTAAAAATATGACTGGTGGCAAGTCTCCTGGACATGATGGCATTAGCGTTGAGCATCTTAGGCATGCTGGTATTCACCTTCCGAGGGTTTTGGCGCTGTTTTTCACAATGTGTATCAGACATTCCTATTTACCGCAAGAAATGTTAAAAACAATTGTGGTGCCCATTGTGAAGAATAGAACTGGTGACGTCTCGGACATGAAAAATTATCGTCCAATTTCATTGGCAACGACGATTGCTAAGGTGCTGGACGGTGTGCTTAATTCTTACCTTGAAACAATAGCTAAGCTACATGACGCACAATTTGGGTTTCGGTCTGGGCTATCTACTGAGAGTGCAATTGTAAGTTTAAAGCACACTGTCCAGTACTATACTAATCGCGGGACACAGGTGTATGGCTGTTTCCTAGACCTGTCAACGGCATTTGACTTAGTGTCTTATAACATATTGTGGGCAAAGCTGGAGGACAGAGGACTACCGGTTAAATTGCTAAATATATTTAAGTTCTGGTATGCCAACCAGAAAAATTGTGTAAAATGGGCCGACTCTCTCTCGGAAGAATATGTGTTGGAGAGTGGGGTAAGACAAGGAGGCTTGACGTCTCCCACACTCTTCAACATATATATTAATGATCTCATTGTCAGGTTGAACAGTATACGTGTCGGATGCCGTATTGACGGAGTAAGCACCAACAATATAAATTACGCTGATGACAGTGTACTGCTCTGTCCAACTGCGGCGGGTCTTAACGAGATGCTAAGGGTTTGTGAGAATTATGCTGCTGAGCACGGGCTCATATACAATGTAAAAAAGACAGAATGCATGGTGTTTAATGCCGCTGGTAAATGTCCCGATAAAGTCAATAACATTACCCTGAACGGCGTGAATATACAACGTGTATCAAAATTTAAATATCTGGGACATATAATTACTGACGACCTTAAAGACGACGCTGACATAGAAAGGGAACGTAGGGCTCTGTCAGTAAGAGGCAATATGTTGGCTCGCAGATTCTATCGTTGTAGCGAAGACGTAAAGGTGACCCTTTTTAAAGCGTATTGCCAAAACATGTACACGGGAAATCTGTGGAACAGCTATATCAAGAAGTCGCTGAACACCCTACGAGTCCAATATAATAATGTGTTCAGGATGTTGTTGGGATTGCCTCGTTTCTGTAGTGCATCAGCGATGTTTGCAGAATACCAAGTTGACGACTTTGCAGCCATTATTCGCAAAAAAAACCACATCGCTGATATTTAGAGCGCGAGGCAGTCCCAATAGCATTCTGCAAACCCTGACAGATAGGTATACTTCTCCGCTTTGGGACTGCTTTGTGAGAAGGGTTATTTCAAAACACAGTTATTTTAGCTCGAGCACCTCATTGTTGTAAGTGTTTACAGACCCCCATGTGCTACTTATGACCATTTTGAAAGGATTGTGGAAGAAGTTTTACTCAAACTTAGTAAACAGAACAAGTCTGTTGTAATGTGTGGAGACTTTAATATCAATCT